CTATTATTTCTAAAAGAAATCTCTCAGACTATTATTTCTAAAAGAAATCTCTCAGACTATTATTTCTAAAAGAAATCTCTCAGACTATTATTTCTAAAAGAAATCATTCAATCAATATTTTTATAGAAACTAAGATATACATAGATAGCTGCACAATAATTTTATAGCTCTGTATTGTGTACGCAATAACATAACACATGAATAAATTTTATTTATTAAATATTATTTATCTACATTACTAAAGCGCTAACCTCTGACCAGCAGTTGGCGTGAACTAAAATAATGTCAGCGTTATTCAAATTGAGCTATTTCAAAGTTGGAATCCGATGCAATAACTTCACCTATTCATTATGTTCCCCAAATAAAAGAAAGTATTCAATGAATATTTGCCTTGACATAAACTTCCTACCATCCTTAAAATCTAAGACATCAAATTATAGACAGAACCAATCGTTTTTAGATCGTAGTCAACTCTCTGAATTCAGGATCAAATTCCCTGTTGCATGTAGCAAACTATTATTGATAAAATTTAATAAACACATATGATAAATTCCTTAATGAAGGATACACGTGATGTGTTGGCTTTTATTCATAATATATTTTTGTATTACCGAAGATTTTACAAACTCTTTCGAATGACACATTGTATGGGCTTTAAATAGTATATACTGTATATGGTGTTACCAGGGAAATTAATGGCGCAGTAACGTGACATCGCGTCACGTAATTAGTGAAGATGGGGGTGGGAAAACTATAAAATGAGTGATTAGCACGTAAACAGTGTACGTGGTTTTGCATTTAACAATTACCTTTTTTTTTCACGTGTGCCCGAAATACCTAATACTTGTGCTACACGACTAATTCCGAGAATCGAGGTCTGTCTAAAGGAACTATTATAAAAGGGTTCTAGATTAGTCGTTAGAAAGGTTTAAAGTATCATCCGGCCAAATTGAAGACAACTCCTCAAGAGCTAAATAATAAATTAAATTTACCTTATCCGTTATTTTGACGACCGAACGCTACGTCACGCGAAAAGTTCTTGGGCACTAGTGGCAGACTCGCTGTTTATCCCGTAACTTTGGCAGAAATCAATTAACCGTAGAACCTATATGTGTTGAAAAAGTAACATTATAAATTCTATACTACTACAGTAATTAAGATAGTTCGCCCGTTATAGATGGCGACCAAACTTTATCACCATAAATAAAGCAACGTTAATAAATATGCACTTATAACTCATTCCATAAAATTCCATAAAATTGCTTTTATGACCACTCAAGTTATACATATTTCTCTTCACTGTATAAATAAATAGCGATAATAAAAACAAAAAATTTGATAAAAATAAAAATAATAATTTATCTCTGAGATATCACAATCACGGGAAGTTATTCCTATGGATTAAATAGCTCAACAACAAAGCATTCGTTTCTCTTTGTCTCTCCATTATCATTTCCCATTCTCTTTGCCATGCCCTTCTTTCCCTTTCCCTTTGCCACTCCCTTTCTCTCTCCCTTTGTTTCTGTTCCATTAACTCTATCATTTGCCTATGTTTTTCCTCAGCTTCTCTTCTTGCATTTTCTTTTAGCCTTTCTTCGTATTCTTGTCTTTTTCTTCTATCCTCCTCTTCTTTTCGACGTCGAGCCTCCTCTTGTTCACGCAGATTTTTTTCAAGCTGTTCGGTTGCGTAAATTTCCTGTATTCTATTTATTAAATCTTTGATTTCTTTTAATCTTGTACCATAAACTGAGTCGTTAGGTGAAAAAATATCAGGATTTGGAGAGATCCCCCAACGATTTCCAACATTTTGAATAAATAATTGAACGGTATTGTTCCAAGTCTTCTTCATTTCGTCTCTACTTTCGGTCTGCCTTTTGTTTGCATGAGAAAAAACAACGATAATATGATTTGTTGCGTCTTTTCCAAGGAAACCTCTTATTCTGCTCAAAACCTCTTTCTGTTCATTGGTAAACCGAAGTGCTTCTAAGAATTTAATTCATAAATTAATTTAAATTCGGAATGTAATTAATTAGGGTTTATTATCACTATAACATACCAAAAACTATAAGAATAGCTTTTACACCTTGATCACATTT